TGTATTAATGTTTTTTTACATTTTGCTGTTTTGCTTCGAAGTGCTAAGCTTATCTTTATCAAAGAAAAAAATTTGACTGTCATCCAAAATGTTATAATGTTTAACTTGCAATTTTTTTACATGTTAAATGTTTTTGTTTAGAGTTTTTATATTGACATTTATATTTGCCCAATAAACTATAGTACATCCTCCTGACATTTTTCAATGCCTAAGTGACTGTTGTGAATAATATCTATTTATTTTGAAGCATAAACTGGATGGAATGACAAGTCCTTTAAATGATAAGCTGTCAAGGATATGCAGATTATTATGTACTGTATATTAAAATATGGTTTTAACAAGAGAATTAGTTTATTTCATGATTCAGGCTCTCTATGAGACAATTTATAATATATTGAAGATATGGGTCTGCCTTAGTTACTAATGTTACTTCTTCTAGATGTTCAGATATCAGTCTAATTACCAGCAGATCATATTCACATGAATTTATTATTAAGATTCTTCTCCTAGTGAACCATCCACATCAGAAGAATCTATAAGGGCTCTACTTATTAGCTATAAATAAGTATTTATCAGTTATATAGGTGACAAGCCATAAAGTCATACTATCAAACATTGTAGATGTAGTTGAACTTCTGATAATGGTTTTTTTAAGTAAATGTTACAAGAGGTTTATTGACAAATAAGCTATGGGTATCTTATTTTGTACAGAACTATCAACAGATAATGTTAAGGGGAGTTTTGAAAGCAGATAGGCAAGTAGTGGAGCATTGCTGATTGTCTGTTTTAAAAGTTCAAATTCTCTCTGCTGACTTTGCCCTTTGAAATTCTTTATCTTTTTGTAACAAAAGATATAAATTGGCAGTTTTACAAACCAAATTATTAATGTATGGTTCTAGACAATTTACCAATCTTAAAAATCATTTTTCTGTTATATCCTGTAATGCTGGTAATTGACATATTGTACTCACTTTTCTAGAATCAGGATGCATTCTGTTGTAACTAAAAATATGACCCAAATATTTGACTTGGATTCATCAGAAAATAAAATTTAATAGTAATAAAAAACTTCTTGTAGAATTTTGTTATGACCTTCCAGGATGACTATAAATTAGTATGTCATCAAGATATATATCCTGATTCCGTGAATGTTTGGAAACATATTTCATGACTCAGTGAAAAATTTCAGGAGCACATAATACTTCATACTCCATAAGAAGATACAGGAATTGGACTCTACTGAAGGGTGAATTGAAAGTAGTTAACAGAACTGTTCTCATTTAGTTTTATCATCCAAAATCTGGACTGAGCATCTAGAATTGAGAAATATTTAAGATCTAAATTAGCCAGTGCCTATTTCTTCAACAGTTGGAGGCAGAACATGAAATCTTTCATTGATGTATTCAACTTTCTTGGATCTAGAAAAATCATAACGACTTTTATCTTTCTTTTCACACTGATGACAGAGTTTATTCATTCAGTAAATTTATTCACTTTATGATCTTTAAGGATTCCATACTTTCAAGCACTTTTATACCTATTACACAACACGAGTGGAATTTTTCAATGTACATAGGTTTTATATTTTTGTTAACAGATGTTTCACATTTACCTGGTAGTCAACCAAGTTCTATTCATGGGACTTGGTTGTCTAGCAGGTAAATATGAATCATCATCATAATGAGATAGGACCACCTCTTAACAATTGACTGAAAATAATCTTTTTACTAGACCCACTAGGTCAGGCATGGCCAACATATGGCCCGCAGGCCAGATCCAGCCCGTCTAATGGCCCGCGATCAATCTTTCAAAATAGCTTGATGAAAAATTCTGACACCTAAAAGAAAAAAAAAAAGGTCAACAACTCATCGTGCATTTAGAGTTACCCCTCCATTACAAATCTCTTAAGTACAGCGTAGAGTGTTGATAAAGCATGATAGAGATTACAGATATATTTCTCACATTTTCTACAATTCAGCCTCTATAGGGTGACACCACAATGAGATCTCACACCACCTCAAAAATCTTCCTACGGCAACCTCTGGTTCAGCCCATGGAAAAAGTTCTCTTTTCAATCCGGCCCGGGGGCAAAAACTGTTGGCCACCTCTGCACTAGGTAGGTAGTCCTATAATAGTCTGACAATTCATACAAGTGTGAGAAATCGAACACCCTCATTAATACTTGATTAATTATAAACGATTTAATATTATTTTACATAAAATTCTTATAAATTTTTAAAAGAAAATTTTGGTTAAATTAAAAAGGAAACTGCTGTAGCTCACTTCATAACCAATGGAAGTTGAACATGCTTTCTCTTTTTCCCTTATCTTTAAAATTTTAGTCACCAAACAGAAGTTCAACCTCTCTAAATTTCCCCACTTATCCTGTTGACGTGCTAAAAATTCTACTCGCTAATTGGAGGAGCTCTTCAAAATATAGCAATTCATTTCCTTTGATCAGGGAGTGCATCAAACTTTCTTAATGTAAGACGACATATTCCATTCAAGTCTCAAAAAGCCAACGCCCAAAATCTTAGAAGAATCTGTCATCGTTTCTACAAGGAAAAAGCCATATTATCTAAGTGCCGTCAATTTTCTCAGGATGAAGTAAGGAAGAAGATTGTCTGATAGAGAAGATAAACCAGCTGAAGAAACTACAAACTATTCATGATGATTCAAAAGGGACGAACCCTCTTTCAAGACAAGATATCAAAGAATCTGTTAAGGTAGTATTACCATAGAACCCGTGTAATCTCTCTCTCGCAAGTTAGAAAACTTCAATTATTGTAATTTTGTTTTATTTTATTCTTGTTCCATTAAATATTTTGTTTTGTTATTTTAAATATGGTCTCTTTAATAACTATTATCCATGCCTATGTCCACTCCACTTACTCACAACTTCCCACTCGATATTCCTCTAAAAATTAGACATAAGCTTGCCTAATGCTATATCTAGGCTGGTGTCAGGAAAAACAACTTACAGGGAATCTTACAAACTCCTGGACTTAAATAAAAGAACTCAGGAAGTCCATTGACAAGTCGGATCGCAAGATCTCAAGCAGAGTAAGTGGTCATCGGGATTTACCCTCAACCCCCTGCATATCTCACACAAGTGATGACAAAAATCAATGTTGGATGACAACTTTTCACCAATTAGAAAATTATTTTTTGCTTTTCCAAATACCAGAATGACATCATTCGAAAATAACACATCTTAAAACCATAGGAATTATTTCTGACTAATTTCTAGACATTAGCTTCAGCTCCTGTATCCAAATTACCTTCTATGTCTCACATTGATTATCTGAAGCCATCTTTCTTTCACCACCTATTGCAGTATTCCAGTATTGTATCTTTTCTCCAATTCTATGGAGAAAAGGTAACAAACGTACTGAGATACCATAATGCCATTCGTAGATGCAATCTGCCTGGTTGAAGCATTGCCCTATTCAATTTCCCTTGGAATTACTCTCTAGTTTGTTGGTAAGCACATTAGGATTGCCGGGTGAATGTCGGATGCCGTAATGTTCTCCCATTTAGTAACCATTAATAGCACCATGAAATAATCTTTGACCAAAATTACAAAGATAACAAAAAGCCTAATAAGATGTACTGATATTTTATCTAAATATTTGTAAAATAACAAATTACAGATCAGAGAAATTTCAGATTTTCAAGTAAATTAGAAAATGCAATCTTTTTCTAAATTTTTCTGTTGCATATTAGTAGAAAATGAGGGGAAATTAACAGTAAAGTAATTTATTAACATTAAAAAAAATTTTGCCAGGAAAAATTCACATATATATTTTTCTATATGTGAATTTTTCCTGGCAAAATTTTTAATATATTTATTTATTTAATAATTGTCCTGACCACCACTAGTGGACTTTAACTCATTTATATTGGAAGGCAAACATGTAGCCTCAAATAAAAGGTCGGTATTGCCGTAAATATGTTATTGCCTCTGCAAAGCATGTGAAGGGACAAATAAAGGATGACTCAATTATATGTATAGGCCAAAAAGAAATATATTTTTCTATAATTTATTAACATGTTTTTATCAAAACAATCACCATATTCATTTTAGGTACTTACTATAAAGAAACTATCCCATTATAAATCTTAATGAACTTTCGAGCTTTTTAATTTAAATTAGCAGAAAGCTTCAGAATGTAGAATGTATCATACAGATAAAAAGATTTTTATGTATTTTTGACAAAGTCAATAAATCTGATAAACTATTGTTTGACCTCTATCGAAAAGTCAACTAATAAATTATCTCTCTTTGTAATTCACAAGAGACTGCTTTTCAAACCAATGCAGAACATAAACACCACAAAAACTGATAAATATCATAAATTTGAAACATTAAGTTACCATATTCCAACGATGACAAAGTTAAGTATTTCGTATAAGAAAATAAGTTGTTAACACTCGATCAAATGCATTCGGATGAATCGAGATGGTTAATGCTTTTTTTCTAGTCGTACCATAATGTGGGCAGACTCATAGGGTGATAAGATCTGGTCAATACATTTTGAAATAATAGGTAGTAGTAAACTGGCAAACAAACCAATCTTTATATAATCTCTTCTTTTTTTTTAATGTACATAAATTTCAATTGATACATACACTCCTACTATTATAAATATATGTAGGCTTCATTCTTACATCAAAAATTCATTCGTGTGTAAAAAATTAAATATTCAATATAATTGTACAAATGCATAGGTAAATTTAACAGCCTGATTTTAAAATAAAATGAAATTGAAATACAACACATTAGAATATCAATATGTAAATATTCATTTTTTATTAAATACACATAACATAAACTACTAAAAGAGGACCATTCTTTGGAAAGTTTAATTTTATAAATTGGATAAACTATTTTAAAACTTTCAATAAATTAGTAATATATTTTGTTATGCAGTAGAGTAAAATTTAAGAAAATTTTAATATTTTTTCAATAAATACATAATAAATATATGTATTAACTCTAATGAATTGATTTAAAAAGTAAATTGTATCATTATATTATGTTATTTACAAACTTTTCAAATTATTTTTGGATTAAAGAATACTCTACCGTAAACAAAATATATACATTACAGAAAACAATGGTATGGTCCCACAGACTTTATTGTGTCCCTTTTTAACAATTAAACATAAGAAAAAAGTGAAAATAAAATAAAATATAATAAAAATAGCAACCAAAATTTTGATTTATTATTGTTATTATTTAATAAAATAGTTTAAACTTTTCATTCTTGTTTCAGCTGTTTTAATATTTGAAATGCATAAAGTTGTATTTTTTTAATATAAATATTGCATTTATAATAACTTTAGCTGATGATCTGAATCCATTTTTAATTTTCTTTTGTAAGGTAATCGTTTAATTTGTGACCCCCAAAAAACTTCATAAATAATTAGATATAACTTTTCAATTCAAAATAATTTTAAAATAATGAAGTGCAGTTATCTCAACATGCATATTTATAGATCTCAAGAATTCTTTCTAAACAAAATAGGATATTTTATAGTTTATATTATATTTCTAAACAATTTAACATAACATTGTAAAATCTAACATATAGTATATATTCCTCTGTTATGTACATATTTTTAACACATAATATTATTTACACTATTGTATATCAAATAACAAATAACTTTGGTTTCTCGTTTAATTTCGGCGCATCATTTCTGAGCCGGTCTAAGCAGTATTCGATAGGCGGATATTTTCCTTACATACATTTGCTTCTTATTCGTTTGGCAAATGCTAGATGAGAAATGTAAATATAGCATAAATGTATGCTATAAGAAGTAATAACAGTTGCATTCTTAATTCAAATATAAATCTATCTTATTAAAAGACTGGATATGCTTAAACTGATGGCCAAAAAGTTATCCAAAATTGGTTTGTCTAGCATTAACAAATTTTTTTAATCTTTATATTTTTGAAAATGTCACGTTTTTGTCATGGAATTGGCAGTTTAATATAGTGCATATATAAAAAACAAGTATCTGTCAGGCACTGTACATGATTCACAACAGCCAATGGAATAAAAGCTGTATAGCCATAAAAATAATGATAATACTGATATCATTTCGCTGTGCAAGTTGTTCCTGAATTCTGTGTTGTTGGGCCATAACAGACTCCAAGTGATTGTTGATACTTTGTAAAGTCTGATTTGTTTCTTCTTGTATTTTTAATAGTGGTTCCAAGCATTGTTTTAAGGAAACAGTTATTGTCGAGGGCTTTCCGGACCTGTGATGAGACACGGAACCTGTTAAGAAAAGAGAAATTAATGCGTGTCTTTTATCCAAAGAACTAAACATTGATTCTGAAATCAAAAAGCAATCAGGTTCATAGAGTTTTTGTATATTTTTTAATTATGTATGGAATCTCTTTGATGATATATAAATGCCATAATTTTAAAATATGGCAAAAATTATCATAACTAGAAATGTAAAACTTCATCTTTTATTAGTTCTTAATTTTATTTTTTCTAATTTTTATACAAACTATTATTAGAGATGCATTATGAAAAAAATCTAGCAACAAGTTGTGTAACTTTCCCAGCTGTTGTAACTTTTATATTACAATTTTATTTTAAAAAATGAGATTATTATTAAATAACAATGATTCCACATACAAAAATTTTTTATATTATTAATTACTGTATTATAACATGGCAAAAAGCTTTTAATTTTGAGGGTAGTGATGAGTTTTATAAAAAAATTGTAAATACTAATTATGAAAAAAATCTTCATTGGGTCCAATCCCTCTCCAGATACGACATAGGATCCTCTCAAACTTTAACCATCAAAATTTATTAGCATCATTCCCCCCTACATATAAGTTACCATGCCAAATTTCTTTTCTGAATCTTTACCCCATCTTGAGATATTAAACAAAATAGATACCAACACATACAGAATTTTTTCCTTTTCTGGGTCCAACACTTTCCCTTGTAGTGCATATGTGATGGCCAGGAAAGTAACTAGTATGTTTGATTAATATTGGCTAATACTAAGTTTATTTTCTTTATAAATAATAGATTATTAAAATTATATTGATTGCAATTTTAGAGCATACAGACTTTTTTAAAACTTCTAAAGACCTTTTTCTTTTTAAGTTTTTCATGAATATACTGTATATTTATTAGGTGCAAAAAAGAAGAGATACAAAATGCACAGAAGGTGCAATTTAGAGCTCAATAGAAGAGGCATGTGGATTATATACTCATATGTAATTCATCAATATTGAGAAGATTATATTTCTTAATATTGATTGATTGTCATTTTTTGTTATTAGACCCTCTCCACTGTGATTTAAAATTTAAATTTCTACAAATAGTACAAGGAGAATATTCACTGTAGTGCCCAATGTCGTTAGGTCAGCAATGACTCAGTTTAATTTTTGAATTATTTTCATAGGATAACAGAATAGAATGAGTTGAAAGGTTGATTGTATTTGAAATTTTTTCTTTTGTTACTATTGGTAGAAAATGGCTCCTAGGTTATAGATACTGTTTTTTTCTAGTTGAAAAAGATTGAGAATCATGATGGTGACCCCACACCAAGTGAAAACGTTGTCAACCAACTCCTGTACATACAGTACATATAATCAGAGTTGTCAACTTTCGGCAGGCCAAGAAAATAACCCCCAAAGCTTATGGTAATTCTGAATAGCTTGTTTGAAAGATTGATGTTTTCTTAGGTAGTCTACAAATTTCAGGTTTTTCTGTAAATGGGTTGCTGAAACATAAGCAATTGAAAAATGCAAAAATTGCCAAAAAAGCTGTATATTCTTCATCCAACACTACAGAAAAAACTACTGGGTCTAGAAAACTCAAATTTTAAACTTTAGCCTTTCCCATTATTGGTGAGGTCCTGACAAAACTTCTGGATCAACATGTCAAAGTTTATGGGGTTCCTATTGAGTTATTTTATTTTTACACTTGTAAGGATAAAATTACATTGAAACAAATGATTTTCATTAAAAATTTCATCCAGAATAACAAAAGCCTGAATTTATGCAAATTAAAACTTTTTGGTCTGTGGCTGTCACATCGCTGAGTGCCAACTGAACTGTACAGTACGTCATCATCTTAAGTCTAGATGTAATATCACAATCATTAACCAAACAAAAGCATCTGAGATTAAAATCGGAGGGTAAAAAAAACTGCACCAAGTAAAACAATTATGACAATTTAGATGACAATCATGTTTTTTCTTGAGAATTTTCTTTTGGTAAAGATAAGCTTGGCATTTTGAAACAGTGCCCATCAGATTTTTACCTGTATTAATGTTTTTGACATTTTTCTTGAAAGTATCAAGTTTATCTTTACCAAAGAAACACCAAAGAAATAAATTTGACTGTTGCCAAATTGTCATAATTTCTTACTTGGTGCAATTTTTTTACATATCAGGTGTTTCTATGCATATTCCAGTTATTACAAAAATGGATTGATGGGAATATTAAAGACCATACACTTTTTAACCTGTGGTACATTATGTGGGATCAAAATGACCCCCATGACTTTTTAACAAATAGCATTATTTTAACTTATTATTTTACTGTTTAACTACTAATTTTATATGAATGTATTTTACTCTGTACAAACTACTGTAGTTTAGAAGAAAGGAGATCACATAGTTTACTCATCTTTACTACAACACCGGAGAATAGTAATATAATTACCTCTTTCTAACCTGTTACTGGTGCGTCTACTAACTCTTAACGATCCAAAACGAACCAAAACTAACGTTTTCGAACCCTTATAACGGTTCTTCTTCAGGTTTTTTCGAATCTCTGATGGAAAATGCAGCTCGTAACAACTTTAAATTCGAAATATGTAAGTTCAAATGCACATTTCCCGTTTCCGTCGTTGTATGTCATGCGCAGTCAACTCCAAAATGGGCTATCATAAATTACTATTCATAAACGCTAGCCACGCTGTTGATAACGTAATCTCTTCTTTATAATTGATGCATTGATTATCCTTAAGGTTAGCCAAGTATATGCTGGCCG